CAATATAATAGCATTTACAGCCTGCGCATTCAAATTTAAAAACAACGAATGAATGAAAGTCTGTAAGAAAAAGGATCTTTAGTGGATAATTTTAAACAAAGTAAAAACCAATCTTACGGTGACCGATTTACAATATCTTTTAATGACTGCGTTTAGTCTTTGTTTGGTTAAATCTGATATTTTTCCAATATAAGGAAGTTTAAAATATTGATAATTTTGTAGGTTTTCCGAACGTGATTCAATGTCGACATTGATGTTGTTAATATAAGAGCTATGGGTTTTCTTAATCAACTAAGACGGGTACAAGTTGCGTTTGAGAACTTTAAAAAGATCGTTAACATCGTGACTAAGGCCGAGACTAGTGTTGTTTTTCTATCGATTAAACATTTAACCAGACTAATTTTGTATGAAAATGAAGTAAAACTAAAAAAATTTGTGTAGAGTCCCGAGAAAGTTTTTTTATGAAAAACAGTGGTAATTTTGGAATTGTTTGTTTTATTTAGAGTTAGGTTCTAAAATCTCTTTTTTGGACCTAACTCAAAAATAAAACAAACAATTTCACAATTATATAGAGTTACGTCCAAAAAAGATATTTTTGATATATATATATATATATATATATATATATATATATATATATATATATATATAATTTTTCAATTTCGGTTATATATAACCAAAATTGAAAAATTTTAATAATAACAAAAACGAACATTAAAAAAATGCTTTTGTTTTATTTTTAAGTTATATTTTTTCTTATTTTAAAAGTATATATATATATATATATATATATATATATATATATATATATATATATATATATATATATATATATATATATATATATATATATATATATATATATATATATTCTATGAGTTTTACCCATCTTTTGTCAAGTTTTGTTTTCTCATCATTTCATTTTTTCAATTTTTCTTCATTTTAATATAAATTTACTCTTCAAACAGAAAATTGTCATTAATAACAATATCTTTTACTTCCTTCATTACAAATTTGACTGCTGAACAAACTTCTTTCCTTTCAGTTTTACTATTTAGAAGGGTCCATTTGAAACAATTCAATGCTCTAAAGTTCACTATCCATTCTTCTATATATTCATAGCAAATTTTATAAAAATTTTTAACTTCTTTTAAAAATTCATTTTTTATTCCGGGATTGGAATCTTCCATATTGGTCAGTTTATAGGCTTTAATATAGCCTTTAATATTGTATGTAGTAGTGTATGTATATATATTTTTATTTGAATTTGCCTTTATTTTTCTTTTTTATATTTTTCTGCAAAAATTGTTTTCTGTCACTCTATCCTTATGAACTTATGTGATTAAATTTTAGGTTTTCTCTTACATATTTTATAACTCATCTTATCTCATCCGCTCATTCTCCCTGTTTTTTTATTTTTTATAGCATTACTCCTTTATATTTTTGTTCTAATTCCAACTTTTTTAATATTATTGTTCCTTATACTTCTTTTTTTTATTACTTGTATTAATGTAATTTACTTTCTTTATTTTTTCCTTGTTTTAATATTGTTTTATTTTATTTGTTTATTTTATTAAGGTGTCGTTTATTTTATTAAGGTGTCGACTAGTTTGTAATATGAGTAACACCGAACCTAAAATTGTAAATTATAATTAAATTTGTAATTTTTTTATTTTATGGTTAATTAACCATAAGACCATGCGTATTATTTACAGCAAAGTTTTTTTATTTTTTTATTTAATTAAATAAATGGTTAAAAAAACTTTGCCGTACATACTATGCATGCGTCAAGACTGTCAAGTATGCCGTACATACTGCACATCAAAGATCAGCCTGGGGATTATATACACAAATATTGGAGAGATGGATATATCCATCTCTTTTTACACATGTAATTTTGACGTTGTTAGAAAAAGAGGTCTGTGGTATCTAAATATCTCTCCAGGTATATATATATATATAATACGGCCTCTCAATTTTGCTGAAAAAGGCAGACATATGAGCGCGCAAAATTCAAATCACTGTCAAACTCGTGTCTGGTGTTTGCCCTGCCCTCTGACGTGCCAGAAACGGCAACTAATATGCGCGCGTGAAATTGAAATCACTGTCAAAATAATTTTAAATTTTTAATTAGTAAAATTGAAATGAAATAATCTAAAAAAAAGTTTTAGAAATACAAATGATTACTTTCAGAGTACAGGATTTGAAAAGAGTTTGTGAAAAAAGAGTACAAAACTCAGTAAATGAGTACAGTTGGTCACCTTAATTATCTACATAATTTTTTGGTAGATTTCAAAGATCTTGCAAAAGATGGTTTTATCGATGAAAATATTGAGTTTAAAATCAATCTTGCTGTTATCATATGTGATGCACCAGCATCACATATGATAAAGCATTTGTATAAAGCATTTGTAAAGTGTATTAAGGGACACAATGGTTATAACTGATGTGAGCGTTGTGTTTAGAAAGGACAGTGGTGTGGCAAGATAATACTCCCACATATTTCACTAGTTTTAAGCGCTAATTTTTTGTCATCAAAAGCATTCTGAACATCTTAGTGGTGTGTTAAATTGAATTAAATTTTGACGTGATGAAAAAGTTTCCTTAAGACTTTATACATCTAGTATGCTTAGGGGTATGTAAAGACTCATTAACTTATGGTTAAATTGCATAAATGTTGCAAACTGTCTCAGATTACAGTCAATACTTTATCAGGCAGGTTGTTCCAGATACGTCATTGTATTCCAAGAAATTTTTCTAGAAAACCAAGGTCTTATTTATATATTAAAAAATGGAAAACAACTGAACTTAGACTATTTCTAATATACACTGGGCCAGTTGTTTAAAGAAAATGGATTAGCCAAAAATCTCTTCAAACCAGTTTTTTCAGTTGCAGTTCTAATTTCATAATGTTTTATTTTGTTGAAAAAATATGTTAATTTTGCTACTTATTTTGTGCAGTTTTATTGGTGAACTTTATCGTAAGGATGAACTAGTTTACAATGTCCATTCATTAGCACATATAGAAAATAATACAGTTAAATTTTAAGTACTTGATAGATGTCCCTTGTTCAAATACGAAACTTTTTCAGGTCAATTAAAAAAGCTTGTTCAAAAACTATTTCGATGGTAGTTCAAAAACTATTTCGATGGTAGTAATCATTGCATTGAGACACTGTTTACAGTAATTTTTTCATACTTTTCTGTTGTAAGTTTGTAAATGTTTTATCAGCGAAAACCAAAATATTAGGATTTGATTTAATTTTTTTAACATCTAACTTTAATTCTGTTTGAAATTTGTTTTTTATAGCGCGAAACTTTATTGTTTTAATTAAATGCAATAGGTCATTTTCAAAATTTTCCAAATCAGGTATGAAAGGTGGTGTATTTTTTGTTTTTTAATCCAAAATTATCATTATCTTGGTTATTGTTAAATACATCATCTGTGTTTGTATTTGGTTTTAAGAAAAAATGCGCTTTCCAACGAATTCTTTTTATGAAATGCTCAACTTTTTCAATCAAAGAAATAGTAAACTTTTTTCATCTAGTATAGGTATATTTTTCAAGAAGTAAGTGAAACCAAACGATGAATTATTGTATATTAATATTAACTCAAATCATCCTCCCCAAATTCTAAAACAAATCCCGATTACATTTAATAACAGGCTTAACCAAAACTCCTCTAATGAAAATGTATTCAATTCCTTCAAACAGATATTTGAAGATGCCCTTAAAAAAAGTGGTTTTGAAAACTTTGAATTAAAATTTGACCCTGAAAAAAAGAATACAAAAAAGCGAAATAGAACTAGAAATGTAATTTGGTTCAACCCCCTATATAGCAAAAATGTTTCCACAAACATAGGAAAAGTGTTTTTAAAATTGATCGATAAGCATTTCCCGCCCTCTAATAAATTACATAAAATTTTTAATTGAAATACTATTAAAGTTAGCTACAGTTGCACAAAAAATATGGAAAGAATTATAAAAGGTCACAACAATGCTTTGTTAAACAAAAAAGAAATCCAAAATGAAAAAACTACAGAAAATTGTAATTGTAAACAAAAAAACAATTGTCCAATGAGTGGAAGTTGCTTATCAAAAAATGTGGTATATAAATGTGTTGTCTCCTCTAAGAATGTACCTGATAAACAATATATTGGCATAACACAAGGTGAATAGAAAAAACGTTTTGCCAATCATAAGCAATCTTTTAAAAATAAAAAATATTCAAAAGACACCATGTTGTCAAAATATATATGAGAATTAAAAGATAAAAATATTGATGATTTTACACTGAATTGGTCCATCCTTAAAACAGTGCCTGCATATAACAATATTTCCAAAAAATGCATACTATGTCTACAAGAAAAATTTGAAATAATTACACATACAAACCAAGAATGTTTATTAAACAAAAAATCGGAATTGATTTCTAAATGAAGGCACGAAAATAAGTTTCTCCTAAAAAACTATAAAAATAAGTGAGCTCAATTAATAGTTACATTAACTCCCCTTTGAAAAAAATATATTATTTTTTAAAAAAGCTTAAGTAATCATTTCTCAAGAATTCTTTTTACAATAGTGTCAGCAAATTACACAAATGTGTGAAAAATTGCAGTAGTTAAGACATGTGACTTCCTGTAATTTACTTTTTGGTATAAATTGAAGTTTTATTAATTTGATCATTTCTGATGAGTCTTTATTGATGAAAAACAGTAATAGTAATAGTAATAATAGTAATACAAATTGCTGTAACGACGATTGTCGCGGAGTATAAAGTTTAAAATTTATATTTTAACAGCCGTTAACAAATATTTATCTAGTCTAGCTTTAAAAGAATTTACTGTCATTGCAGAAACCACTTTTTCAGGTAAAGCATTCCAATGAGGTATCACTCTGTTCGTAAAAAAATTATGTCTCGGTGTTGTTTTTGCAAATTCTCTTTCAAATTTCATTGGATGACCTCGAAGTCTCTGGGAAGAAGCTTTATTAGGCTCTTTCTACCATAATATCTTATCAATCCCAGTTGTTAATTTAAAGAAAGCAATGAGATCTCCTCTTATACGTCTTGTTTCCAGAGTTGTGAGGCCCAACTTTGTCAATCTTTCGGTATAACTTAGATGTTTTAGTTCAGGGGCTAGCTTTGTTGCTCGCCTTTGAATTTTTTCTTGGTCATTGATATTATTTTTATTACTTGGACTCCACACTGGAGCTGCGAATTCCAAGTGTGGTCTAACCAACGATGTGTATAGTTGCCTTACCATTTCAGTGTTAAGATAAGTAAAGCTTTTTCTTATTAAACATAAGATTCTTTGTGCTTTACTTGTAGCTGCTTGAACCTGATGATTCCATTTCATATTGGATGAAACTATTACACCCAAGTCTAGTTCTTTTGTTGTTGTTTTTAGAAGAAAACTTTGATTGTCGTGCTTTATAGTGTAGTTATAGTTAATATTTTTTCTTCCAATGTGCATAACACTGCATTTATTTATGTTAAAGTCCATTAACCATACATTTGACCATTCAGTTAACAAATCAATGTCATTTTGCATATTAGTTAGATCATTATGTTCTTTTATAACAGATATGATTTTAGTATCATCAGCGTATAATTTTGCGATTGAAGAGATACATTGGGGAAGATCATTGATATATAACAGAAAAAGAAGAGGACCTAATACAGAGCCCTGTGGTACACCACTATAAACCTCGCACCAATCTGATACAACTTCACCCATTACCACTCTTTGTTTTCTGTTTTTTAAAAAAGAATCAATCCAATTTAAAATATTGCCTTTAATTTCATAGTTAAAAATTTTATGTATAAGTTGATAGTGGGGCACCTTATCGAACGCCTTTGCAAAATCTAAGAACAATATATCAACTGGATAACCATTTTCAATTTCAGTTGTAATAATATCGAAAGTTTCTAATAGGTTTGTTAGGCACCCTTTATTTTGTATAAATCCATGTTGTTGAGACGTTAACAGATTGTTTTCTGTTATATAAATTATCAGTTTTTTTCTAATTATTTTCTCTATTATCTTACTTGGTATTGATGTTAAGGAGATAGGTCTGTAGTTGAGTGGATCTTTCTTGTCTCCTTTTTTAAAAAGTGGTGTAATGTTTGCAGATTTCCATAATTCTGGCAGCTCTCCTGAATGTATCGATTTCTTGAATATTAAAGACAAAGGTTTGGATAATCCTTCTGCACAATGCTTTAGCACATAGAGACTGATGTTATCACAACCAAGTGACTTGTTTTCATTAAGTTCTAATAAATAATTAAATATAATATCTTCTTTTAGTTCTTGGTCCCAGTCACATTCAAATAAATGACTAGTTTTATTGCTGAAATATGGTAAATCTTGATTTTCTTTGACAAATACTGATTGGAAACTACAATTTAGTAGATTAGCAACTACTTTTTTATCAGTTATTATTTTGTTGTCACTTGTTTTAAGTGCTAGCAATTTTGTATGTGTTTGGTTTTTTCTTTGTGCATATGCATAGAAGCGTTTTGGATTATGTTTTACATCTTTTGCTAAGTTTATTTCATAATCAAAAGTAGATTTTTTAATTTGTTTTTTAATTGTTTTGTTGATAAGTTTGTATTCATTATTTAAGTTTGTGTTCTTGAAGTTTGTAACACGAACTCTGCACCATAAACTACGTTTTTTTCTAACTAGATTCTTGTATTTTTATTAATACATGGATTTTTGATAGAACTAGTGGGTTTGAAGTGGCGAGGAATATATTGTTTGCAAGCTTTTTCATAAATTTTTAAAAAGTATTCATAACATTGATTTGTATTCATTTTGTCAAAGATTTCAACCCAATTTACTTTATAAAACATGAGATTCATTTCTTTGTACTTTCCGTTTCGAAAATTAAATCTCTTATTGTTGAATTTTTTCTCATATGAATTGAGTATGTTAATTTCCCATTTTAATATGTAATGGCTTTTAGTAATTTGACCAAGTGGAGCATCATATTCAATGTTAATTATTAAATCTAGATCGTCGCATATCATTAAATCTAATATATTTGCTGGTTTATCAACAGCCATTTGAAAAGTTGGCTTGTTATCTACTTGATGTAAATAATTGTTTTGCAAGTTATTAATAAATGCTCTGCTTGTTTGGCAGTTTTGCTTTAGCTCAATAGTTCCGTCTTCATTCCAAATAATATTTGGGTAATTAAAATCACCAACAATTATTACATTTGAGTATTTTCCATTCATTACTTCCTTTTTTGAAGTTTTTATTAATTCATTAATTGCATTATTTATTAGGTCAGTACTGTTTGGTGGTCTGTATATACATCCAACTAATATTTTTGTTTTATGAAGTACAATGCTACACCATATTTGTTGAACTTCTTTATATAAAGGTGATACTTCATAAGGTGATACTTCATAAAACTGATACTTCATAAGCAATTATATCATATTTTGTAAAAATTGCAACACCTCCACCTTGTTTGTTTGTTCTATTATTGTAAAAGCAGTTGTAGTTGCTAATATTTATAATTAAGTCATTTTTGAACCATGTTTCAGAAATAAGTATGATATCTGGTGAGTCGATCACAATTTTTGATCGACTCACCAGATATTGTTTCAAACTTTGTTATTTTATTTACTAAAGACGTAGAATTTGTATACCAAAACTTAAGATAGTTAGACTTTTTATTGAATGGAAAAAACATGTCAGATTTGTTTTTATTTACACTAGATAATGAATTAATTTTGAGTTTTTTCACTTTTCTTGACTTTGACAATTGACTCATTTTTGACAATATACCGAAAGGGCTGGTTATTATCAGCATTATTTAAACGATCTCTTTCTTTTAGAAGCAATTTTCTGCTTTCACGTTGTGCAAATGTTAAATCCTGATTTATATATACTTTATTTTTATATTCGACATTATATTTCAAATTGCTTGCTGACTTTAAAATGTCTGCAACATTTTCTTTATTATTTAATTCTACTATTACAATACCAGGTTTGTCGGTTTTTGATTTTAGGCGGTGGTGTCGTTTAATAAATGATTCATCGACCTTCAGGTAATTAAAGATCTTTTTTATTTGCTCGTTTTCATGTTGTATATTTTCTTCAGTTGATTTATTTAATTCATCAAGACCGTGTAGAATCAAATTGTATTCTCTTCTAGATTTTTCTTTATTTTTAGCTGAAATCGCGGTTAGTATTCTTGTTTCTTCTGGTTTAAGAGATTTGTTATGAAACAAGCTACTAAAAAGTGGTTTGCTGTTAATTTGATTATTTTTGCTAATAATTTGAGCTTGATATCTTCTAAGAACTTCAATTGCTTTTCTAAGTCAAGATTTTTAGATAGTAATTTTTTTACCAGATCTTCCAGTGCTAGAATCTTTTTGTTAGTCTCTTCTTTGAACGTATCAAATTCTCCTTTTCGAACGTTGACCATATTGATTTACGTACTCAATATTTATTATTTATTTATTTTTCTTGATTACTATCTCTATTTAATGTATGTAGTTAATATTCTATTTTGATTACTTTTTGTTTACTTTTTGTTATCAGAAACATCGGCCATCTTTTTTACGCGGTTTTTGAAATGGTGTTAAATGAAAAATGTTTATATACATATATATATTAGGGTGTTCCAAAAAACAATATTTAAAAAAAATCTGTTCTCACCCTCTAAATGTGTTCTATATGAGGAGCCATCCATAAAGTACGTACGCAAGTATGGGGGAAGGGGTTTCCCGAAAGCGTACAAGTGCGAACAAGGGGGGGGGGGGGAAGGGTGTTAAAGACAGTGAGTACGTACGCGGTTTGACTATCTCCCCAAAACATGATTTTATTTTTTTAAAACATTGAATTTCACGTGTGTAACAAATCAAAAAAGTGTTTTTTTTTCTGACCAGTTTTATTTTTCTAGCTTCAGAAAAAAAAAACGAGTTAATTTTGAAAAAAAACAATGCGCACGAACGCGGAGAGGGGTGGGGGTCTTTGAAAGCGTACAGGTTTGCAAAAAGGGAAGGGGGTCCTAAATCAGTGATTTTACTGCGTACGTACTTTATGGATGTCCCTTAATACAAAAATACTAGGTTTAGAACTTTTTGCCGAGCCTTGCTTTGAAAAATGGCCCTCTACTCAAAATAGGTTGCCGACCATTAGTTTGACCTAATGTTGCGTCTAACCTATCGCTACGTCTGTTACACAAGTTTGAAGGTTTAAAGGCTATAACTAAAAATTTAGTATTCTTCTAACAATATCTCCAAAAACATCTTCTAGAACAAAAGCTTTCCAAAATAAAAACACTAAAAAAACCTATAATCTTATAGTTTTAAACTTATTGTTAACAATATAATATAAATGTTAAAACTATAAAAAGCTTTTAATTTTTTTTAACTTTATAACTTTAAACTGACTGTTAACAATATTAACTTAAATGTATACGGGCAAACCCGATTTTTATTATGGCATGTTACTAAAAAGGTTATTAAGAATAAAACCTTTTTTAAAACTTTATTTATTTTTTTTACCTTTATGAAATTATTTAAAATCTAATATATATTTTCCTGTATCAGTAATACGGACCTTATTACTACCGTATTACTACCTAAATATACGGTATAGAAGATTATCTTCTTTACCGTGCAAAAACTATGAATACCACCACGACAAAATCAGTGTAACCACAGTGCAGGCATAAAATTCTTAACAAGTATGATATCATTACAATTTACGATCTTTATCAAACGGACAACTTTTTAAATAAATTATTAATTGATGTATTATTTAGAAGAAAATGCGAGCTATAGGGGAAGGGGGAGGGCGAATGCCGCCTTCGCCACCCTTTTTAGTTAGGAAGGAGGCGTGAACCTCCAAATAAATGTTCATCCGCGTTGCTCTGTGATAAGACCGTAAAAACTTTTTGAGGCACAAAAATAAAAAAACTACTACTTCTATTTATTATTAATTTGCTAATTTATTAACCGCCTGAAACAATATAACCGTTGCCGGTTTACTCGCCATTAACGTTTGTACAAGTATTAAATTAAGTATTTACTAACCATTTTTATTGCATTAATCCTATTGTTGTAATTAAAATAACTAGAATTGCAAAGGAATTGGGATCGGTAAAAAATTGGAATTAAAAATTGTCAGTTAAATAATCTCTCGAAAGCTTCAGTGAGGTTGATGTTTTTCGTTTAGTTTTTAGTTGTTTTTTTTTACCAGAATGTTGTTAAATAAATATGTGGTTGAACAAATATCTGGTAAGATGTTTGCTAAACAAACATCTTACCAGATGTTTGTTGTCGCGTCGACAATCATCTTACTGAATAATTATTATCGCGCGGTTTCGTTTTAGAAACCACGCAAGATTTAATTTAAATAACAATTCAAGATGAGAGACAAAATTACGGAAGCTATAACCATCGATTAGTTAAGTTTGGAATATCATATAAGAAATCATATAACTAAAAAAATAAAAATGAAATGTATGATGTAATAAGTTTTTTGTAATACCTTAAAATTAATTTGGTTAACCTCAATAATATTGTCGTTAAACTCATTCAATACCTTTAGCATTTTAAACTTAAATAAAATGCCAACACGGTTGCTTTGCTAAGAAATTAATTCAACAAAATGCTAATAAACAAATTTTAATAGATTTATATATGCTATAAAAGGTTGTAATATTATTCGGAAAAAAAAGTTTGTAAAATATGAATCAAGTATGTTTTAAGCTATTTATTTTTCACTGAACAAATTTAAATGGCTTTTGAAATAAATATAAAATAATAAAAAAAAAAAAAAAAAAAATTGATTTTCAAATAAAAAAAGATTGACCAATTTATTTATTTTTATCGTAGTTAATTACAATGAAAATTAATAAACTCGACATTAAAAATCTTATTTAAGAAGTCAATTTTATCTTTACACATATTATATACACATGCATATATATAAATATATTTATCTATATATATAACCATATACAAAAATTATATTCACATATATTTTATACGAGAATTATTTTTCTATATTCTATGTACAATTAAATAAATATAAAGTGCAATGTTAGAGACATCGATGTATTTGTAATCGATGTATTTTTTATCAATTCTAGTTTTTTAGTATTATTTCCAATGTTTAAAAAATATAGATGGCTACAATCAACCATTCATAAAGTGAATAAAAACTCTTGCGCAAACTTTAAACTAATGAGTTAATAGTTTTGGAAATAATTTCTATTCCTTCATACATTTGCTCTTCATTTATGATTAATGGAGGCGAAAAGCGAATAATGTCACCTCGAGTATGTTTTGTAAGAAGCCCGTTATCGCGGAGACGTAGACATGCAGAGTAGGCATCATAATCTAAAAACACGTTTTTTATCAATGGCTATTAAGTTACCAATATAGTATATTCAACATTACATTTTTCTATGCTGTCACTTCTTAAAAAGTATTCACAACCCCTACAGCTTTGACATTGACAACCGTTCTTCCCGATTTTCTCAGTAAACCAAAGTATTTCTTACTCCTAATATAACTTAATAATCTTTTAATAACTGTGTTTGCAAACTTAGACTTATTTGCAAACTTATTTAATTTGAGAACAAAAGTAACATAGGCAGTCATGATTAAATTTAGGTTGCCAATCAATAAGCCAATCAATAGAGGTTATCACCAATCAATAGAGGTTATCACCAATCAATAGAGGTTATCACCGTTATTATTATTCTTAAGATTAACATAAAATTAAAGTAATTTTTAAAAGCAAACATTATAAATACCATTCCTGAGCAATTGAAAAGTACTAAGGAAATGCCATTTATAATGTTTAATTTAACATTGTCTGATTTTTTTTAATATCTTTTATGCAAGCTTAACAGTAAAGCACAGATAAAAAGAAACCTTTAGTTTTAGGAACAACAACAGCGTTAAGCAATCCTTTTCCACGAATTACTGTGGCTATGTTTGGATTTAGTTTTGCTGTCAGCTCTTTTCTGAATATGTTTCCCATTTTCATTGCGTTTTCAGCAAGCTTTTCTTCTATTAAAACCTAAAATAAAATCCATTCAGTTTATACTAAAACTATTTCCATTTATTTTGTTAAACATTTTTGTTTGTTTAATAAAATGTTTTGTTAATTTTATATTAAACGTTAATGCCCATAGTAACGTAATGTATTGAATGTGAAATTATATTCATTATTTTACTAAATTTAAAACTTTCGTCTAAATAAAAAATTTTATGTTTACAAAAATAACTTTGCAATATTGTTTTTTACTGTTGTTGTTTTATAGAGGTTTAAAATGAAAAAAAATTTATTATCAGTATAAACGTGGTATAAACTACTGTTTTACATTTTTTATTTTGCAACTGTTTTGCATTTTTGCAGATTCTTACTAACGCAAATTCGTATTTAAATCAATTTGCACGTTCATCGGTTTGCATATTCAACGTTTGCAAATATGACTTAGAAATCAGTTTTTAAAAAAACACTTTAAGTAATATACCTCAAGAGATGCAACTGCAACTTTAGAAGCAATAGCGCTTCCACCAAATGTAGACCCATGCTAGAAAATAAAAAAATTTAATAATAAAGGACGCAAAATTTTTAAAAAGAACTCAAAAGTTATAAATTTCTTTGTAAATCAAAAAATTAAAAAAAAATTTAGTACAAGGCTAATACCTGACCAGGCCTAAACAATAACATGATATCATTATCGGCTAATACCGCTGATATCTAAAATTGAAAAAGTAAAAAAAAAAAGAACTATTAAGAAACTTAATATATGCAAACTGATTTATTAAATATGATCTTATCTTTACCTGGTATCTGCTTATATAAACTTGGTGATATAAACAGTTTTGTTGAAACCATTGCAAAAGTAACAAATAATAAAAAGTTTAAATTTTGATTTATTTGACTTGTTTAATTTTATACAAGTTATAAAAATTGCACATTTTATACAATCTATTTTTGGATTGCAGTTTTATATGGTTTTTTCAATTTTGAGAATTATATAAAAATGAAAAAATATGGAAATGAAAAAAAAAACTTTTCTATTCACTATATTACTACTTTTCTATATTACAACGAATTATTCAAAAAAAAAAACTTTTATGTGAAAATGCTAAAAATACATGTTTTATTAAATACATGTTTTAATAAATATTTTTAAATAGCTATAAAAACAAATTTTATTTCTTTATTTTGTAATAATTTTTGAGTTTTATTAATATTATTATTTTAATACCAGAATTTCATTAAAAAATTCAAAGATTGAAATATCAAAATAATTCAAATTCTTTTCAGGATGAAGTTTACAGCTGGGTGATAAAAAAAATTATCAAAATCCAAAGCTTGCTCGAGTAGATCTTAAATATTATTTTAATTAGAAAAAACAAAACATGATTAATCCTATCTAAAACGAAAAAGCATAGTGCTATTTGAATAGAATCGACATTATATTTATCAAAAACTATTGGTTTGTTTTGAACTATTTATTAAAGATTATTGGTTTGTTTTAAACTATTTAAATAAAACTATTGGTTAGTTTTAAACTATTTAAATTTTTTAAAAACTGTTAATCACTATATAGCGAATTCCCATCGGAGTACTCGTGTTCTATTTAAATATTATTATCGAATAAATTGTGTTCTATTTAAATATTATCAAAAATAAACTTACTGGCATAATCCCTCCAGACAATGCTTTTCCTAAAATGAGGATATCGGGGCGTGTATTTTCGTAATTAATACAAAGCAACCTAAAGTAGAATAAATTTTTAAAATTTTGATTCATTCAAGAAGCTGATTAAAAAATTAATTTTATAGAAAATTAGGTTTTTAGAAAATTTCATTAGTTTGAAGAACAAAAACTCTAATAGATAATTTTCCCAAAAATTTATATTTAATATAAAAAAATTCTAGCATTGGTTTATTAATTGTGTTCAAGTTTCTTACTTTCCTGTTCGTCCTAACCCTGTTTGTACCTCGTCTGCTATCCACAAAACCTGAAGTTGAAATTTTTAATTATTTTAAATCAACAAAAAGCCAAAATAACTTTAAATCAATAAGAAGTCAAAATATTTTCCGGTTTCCGGTTATTTTGGTGCATATTTAAGATCTTTATTATTACTTACGTTATACTTGGTGCATAACTCGCGAACTTTTGTAAGATAACCATCGTCAGGAATTATAACTCCTGCTTCTCCCTGTATGGGCTCAACCATAAAAGCACATGTGTTTTGATCTTTAAGCTTTTCCTAAAAATTATGAAGGTCTTATGTTATTCTATTTGGGTTTTATACTTTCGCATTTCTGTTTCGTGAGGAACTACATTTTTAACTATATGTGACAAAATAAATTGTTACCTCAAGTGCATTTAAGTTGTTATAAGGAACCATTTCAAACCCTGGCATGTATGGGCCGTAGTCATTTTTAATATCCGAGTCAGATGAAGATGAGCATGCTGCTAAGGTTCTTCCCCAAAAGTTTTTTTCAGCAAATATAATTTTTGCTTGGTTTTCAGGAATGCCTTTTACTCTATAGCCCCATTTGCGTGCAAGTTTGCATGCAGTTTCTCCTCCTTCAACACCAGTGTTCATTGGTAATATACGATCATACCCAAATAGTTTAGTTGCGTATACTTGAAACTCTCCAAGAGCTTCACTGTAAAATGCTCTTGATGTATAAGTTAGTTTTTCAGCTTGCGTTTTAAGCACATCTATAATTTTAGGGTGGCAATGTCCTTGGTTTAAAACAGAAAATCCACTGAGAAAATCGTAATAACGACGCCCATCAACATCCCATACGTACACCCCTTTCCCTTTACACAATGCCACTGGAAGTGGAGCAAAATGGTGCGCTCCAAAGTTATCCTCGCGTTCAAAAACCTCTTTTGTTTTAGCCGAGTATGAACAGTAGAAAGCACTCTGTTTCAAGTTGGTAATCCTTTTAAACAAATTTATTGAATTTTTGTCGATCATCTTTTTGCCTATTAAAATTGAAATTGAAATTATTATTTAGAAATATAATTAATTCCATAAAACAAAAACTCTTTTTACAAGAGTGATCGTATTAAAGTAATGTATTATGCATGCATAAATTATTTTGAATGCATACTAATTATAATAATCAAAATAAGATAAAACACTACTACAATATAAACAAAATAATAAACATTTAAACAAAGTTGTTATAAATATTTGTACAAATAACTGTAAAAAATATATTATATGCATGTATACAAATTTTTGAATCTAAAAATGCTCGAGCTAAAAGATGCACTTAAAATAAAATAAAAAAAAACCTTTGCAAACTTTGATTTATTATCTCTTTTGAATAAAAATACTTGTCACAAAAATTTTCCGTTACGTGTCCAAAAAATATGTGCCATATAATAATTTTTTGACAAATAAGCACTTTTTATACGCCTTAAAAAGTCAACTGGTTGCTATAGAAATGATTTTTATTGCCGATAATAAAATAAATTAATAAAACAATCAAATGAATAATAGGTAATAAAAATAACAAAAGATTAATATTAAAACAAAAAACTTTTGACGTTTTGCTTGACGTAATTACTTTTACTTTTTAAGTAACGGAATTTAAAGACAAACAAATGATTTTACTTTGTCAAGAAATTATGACCAATCACCACGCATTTTATAACCACATGTTAATATTTAATCACATGCTTACAATGTAAATAGATGGCATGTGACTAATAAGTAGTGACATGTGATTAAATGATAGTATTAGTTGATAATACTTATTCCATATAATTAAAGTCGCAATCAATATAAAAAAAAAGGTTCTTGCAAACTTTAAACTTAACATCATATTATTTTCAGACTATTTTCTCTAAGTTTTTTTGTATTTATTTTCTCTAAGTTTTTTTTCAATCTTTACTCAATCTTTGTAAAACAAATTTTAAACAAAATAGGTAAAAAGAAGAAGTGCTAGCCAAATATTATATTAACAGATTATAATAAGTCTAACGACTATTGTACCAAATATTATTAATTTTAAATTGTAAGTTATCCGATTTCAAATGGAGATACAGATTCTAAAAAGATAAAGTTGTAGCTTTCTGTTTTTCTTATAGACACACCTTCAAAGTGCCTTTTTATGTCTTATTTTGTTAAAGTTAATAAGATAAACAAAGCGTCACACAAGCGGCAAATTGACTTGGAGATTACGTAGATTGTTATTACGTTTTATAATTTGAATATAAACAGGACCGGACTAGGTCTTAGCGAAGCGAACAATTCCCGATTATTTGGGTTACTTAGACTTCGCGTCGCCATTACCAAATTACTTTGGTAATTTGGTAATGGCGACGCGTTTTAATAGTTTTCTTTTTCGCTGACTTAATCCCCCTCCTCCTCCCAATTATTGTAAATCTAGTAACCTATTCCTAATAAATAGAGACATAAATATTAAAGTAAATACAATAATAATAAATACAAGCTACTATAAAATATTAGATATTAATGCGTATAATATAAGAATAAATGGTTAGTAATATATAATAAATGTTTAATAATATAAGAATAAAACGGTTTTCAATTCATTTATTTATCATATATGCGGACATTAATTAAATTTTTAGTTTGTAACGTTTTTAAAAGCAAATCAAAAAGTTATAAATTACATTATGATAGGAAACCTGTTTTTTTTTTTTAGTTATAGTTATTAAAATAAATGCTAAAATGAAAGTAATTAGTTTTTGTAATTTTGGTGAAAACTAATAGGAATGGTACCGAATTTATTGTTTGTTTTGCACTAATTTCCCAAACTTTTTTTAAAAATAAATAATATACATATCAACGGCTTTAATTTCTAAAATCCATGTCTATGACAACAACTTTACCAAACTCATTGTTATGTATTTGTTAGTCTCACAGTTTACGCATGTGTTTTGACTTAGAGCAATTTTAATCGCAAACATTTAAAATAATAAAAGCATCATCAATAAAACTTTTTTAGTATGGCAGTGATTTTACTATGGTAGTGAAAGGTATAACTGGGTAAAAACTTATATTTTACCTCTAATACGCAATTAATAAACAATAATCAAAAAATAATATGCATCATTGTAAAATGATGCCATGCAAAAGTCTATTTATTCAATACATCCACCCAGCTCTTTTATGTCGAGATCTCTTAACCCATGTACTCTTTAGTGATGTCACTTGTTAACAACAATAAAATTAGTTGATGTTTCTAATAAAAGTTTTATGACGTCAGTAATTTAACTTTGTTTTTCTTATATATTTTTTTTTTTTCGTAGTTTCACAATAAAATTCAAAGGTACTTTCATGGCGTCATATAGTTAGAAGTAAAACTTCCGCAAATTACACACATTCTAAGTTCCACAATATTGCGCAAAGCGATTTAGGTTTCAACATTTGATTTAAAATGAGATTTGAAACTAAAAAAGAAACACTCTAGTTTAGGGAAATTTTTTCACTAAAAATTTTTCTATTTCGATCCATTTCATCTTTAAATAGTGGAATAAATATAAATTTAGGAGTTCAAATGACAAAAACGTTAAAAACTTTTTTTATTGCAGTAATAATTTTATTATTGTAGTTAATCATTTTTTTCGCTTACACCAAGATATAGTCGCTTATACCAAACAAAATTAAAATAGAAAAAAAAAAAGAGATAAATATGTGTGTTTAAATAAGATACATAAATAAATATTTAGAAATAAAATCATAACAAAGATTTTGATTTTTTCTAAAGTTAAGGTTAAAAAATTATCTTAAACAAGAAATTATATAACTTAAACAAGAAATTGACAAATATGTTCTGACGTAGCATCAAACAAAAAGCATAAAATCAAAATATCTCGACGGAAGATAAGAATATTCCGACAACATAAAGAAAAGACAATTAGTAAATTGTCGACTTCAAGTTATAGAGCAACTTCGATGCTCTATAACTTGAAGTTAAAATATGATGATTTTTCAGCATCTACGTCACTAAAGTATAAAACAGAAAACTGTTAAAAAATAAATAAATCTGAAAATAGTTATTTTATTATTAGTAAGGAAAACAGAATAAAAACAGCAAAAAATTCAGAAAAAAGTTGAATATTCACTTCCATATATATCAGAATACAGATCGCTGTGTTTAGTAACTATACTCAAGCGCGTAGAGGAGTCCTCCACCTTTGCAAAGTAATTGCAAATTAAATATTTTTTAACGGCTAGAAAGAACCGTTAGGTGTATATAAGTAATCTAAAAAAATCAACCAAAAATAAAAACGTGAAATAAAGAAATATAAACTATTTTATAACGGTTTACATTTTTTAGCGTTTTGACTAGAAAATTAGGGTAACGGGGGCAAAACGAGGCATTTAAGCACTAACTTATTTAATACAGGCCGTCTAAGAACATTTGAAAAAAGAACTTGATATTTTTCAAATCTCCTACCATACTACTATAACCTACCATACTACTATAACCTACCATACTACTATAACCTACCATACTACTATAACCTACCATACTACTATAACCTACCATACTACTATAACCTAATAAAATATGAATTGCGAAATTGAAGTGATTTGGTCACCAGAGTCCATTTATTGACAACGCCTAACCTGTCTCATTTTGCATCGTTATGTGGGGCAAAATGAGACAAATTTTTTTAACACGTAATTCAAATAAATAATGATAAATAAAACAGATATTAAAGAGGTTTAGGCAAGATAAGTATTTTATAATATAATACAGCTAATAATGATACATAATATATAATCAAACAAATATAATACATAATTTAACTGTCACTAGTTAATCATATAATCAAACACACTGTCACAAGTCACATAAATCACATATTGCTTCACCAGTATTAACATCTGAATGAGTCCAAGTTGTACATTTTAAACATTGACTTTACTTCAATACTTTTGCAGCCATACTCCATAATCCATTACAAAAATATTCACAGTTTTCAACACTTAAACTTTTTACTCTTTCTTTACCCTTTCCTAATGCCCATTTATTTTCTATTTTTTCTTCTTTTAACTTTTTTGATTTTTCAGAGGATTCAAATAGTGATTTCCTATAATGTGATGTTGTTATTATTTGTTTTTTATTATTCTTTTTCTTTTCTTGGTAATAAAGTTATATTTGGCATAGCTAAAATATTAGAAAAGCAGATATTACTATATTAAAATCAATACTTTATGAACATCCTGATAACAATGGTAATAAGGTGCTTGAATTAACTTGTAAATAGGGTTCATTATCGAAATTGCAATTTTCGAAAATTTTCGATTAAAACGTTATCGAAATACTTCTTTTTTTTCGAAATCTAAAAAAACTTTCGATAATAATCGAACTAGCCATATTAATTTCGAAAAAAAAAAGTAATTTAGAAATGTGAAATTAATTTCGAAATAAAAAGGTGGATTACGAAATAGGAAATTAATTTCGAAAGGAAATAAAGAATTTCGAAATGTGAAATTAATTTCGAAATAAAAAGGTGGATTTCGAAATAGGAAAATAATTTCGAAAGGAAAAAAAGAATTTCGAAATGTGAAATTAATTTCGAAATAAAAAGCTGGATTTCGAAAAAGGAAATTTATTTCGAAAGGAAAAAAAGAATTTCGAAATGTGAAATTAATTTCGAAAAAAAAAATGTATTTCGAAAAGTGATATTAATTTCGAAAGAAAAAAAAGAGTTATGAAAAGTCAAATTAACTTCGAAAAAAAAAAGTGTATTTTGAAAAGTCAAATTAATTTCGAAAGAAAAAAAAGAGTTTCGAAGTGTGCAATTAATATCGAATTATTCTAAGGAGATGTTCTTAGAATTGCTCTTAGAAGAATTTTATTTTTAATAATGTTTTTTTAAAAACTTTTCCATATAAATGGTCCACGGTATTGAATTTGAAATGAATTGAGTTTTAAATAAGATCTTGGAATTACAAAATTATCAGATGGGTATTAATGAGATATTTCTGCAAAGTAAGAGTGAAATATATAAGGAGATAACGCATGTTTTGATTTAAACGTAAAAAGCATAACTTGGTACATATTAAGTTTATAAATAAAAAAACTATGAATAGGGGAAGTCAGGGTACAGTGGATTGAGGGGCACAGTGAATAAGAAGCATTTTTTCAAAGATTATGATTTTGTTCATCACGATGATGTAATAAGTTTATGTGCGCATATATCACCCATCTTTATTTATAGGTGTTACCACATAACTTTTGACTCTCGGTTTTAGGTAGGTAATTTATGTTTTTAGCTAACTAAAGTAAATGCTCTTACCATCTTTATGTTTGTTGTGGAGATCATGGTTAAAATCATTTTATAAGTTAAAGTTTTATATTCGGAATACTGATCTTTATGGTTTATTTTAGTAGTTTTGCTTTTCCTTTAATAAAACTCATGCCCCAAGAAATTAAACTTGAACCTTATTTTTTATAGTGGGGCACAA